AAAAAAAAAATAGAGTTGGACATTTAACCGACTGAGCCACCTAGGAGCCCCTGCAACTTATTCTTATGTTCTTAGCTCTGGCTCCAAGGATACTCTGAGTAACCAGCACACAGAAATATTTTTCTTTGGCGGGGGGAGGGGTAGATACTCTTTGGCACCAAGGCTGCTGGAGGAGTTACACAGGCCTGATCATTCAGTTTAATGAAAATATAACTAAGGCAAGAGAAGCCTGCCCCCACGTCTTGTTAGAGCCAATCTGAATTCGTCCTCCATGAAGACTTGTTAAGTACTCTCCAGAGCAAAAATCTCACCTTCTGCTGGATGTAGCACTTATTTGGCAAATTAAGTCCCACATTGAGAAGTCACTTTATCATGGTGGTTAGAAGCTCAGACTCAGGAGTCCTGCCAAGCTAAGGCTGAATCATTTCACTCAAGAGTCTCAATTTTCCCATCTGGAAATGGGAACTCAACAGCATTTACCACACAGGACAGCAGTAATGAATGGATTAGATAACACATGTAAGGCCTAGTGCCAGAGCATCTGAGATTTCTAAGACCTACAAAGATGCTGGAGACTTGGGAAAAAAAATTTCTTGGAAGGAAAATCGCAAAATTAATGAATATTTAATTCAATACTTAAAACATATGTTATCCACTGTCAACTACACTTGAACTCAACCTTTATATAATTTTATATAAATATAAATCAGTTACTCAGTTTTATATTCCCTTTCAAAAACTGTATAGTAAAAAAGTTGTATTTATTGTTGGATCACAGTGTATTTTAATGTTTGATCTGACGTTGAATGTGACCTTATATGTAAATATAAGTAAACTACAAGTAAATTTCCTTGGGCCAATGGAGGTCTTAAAATGTCTCTAGGTACTTAAAGAAATGGTAGCTCTAATTACCACTATTATAATAATACTGATTTTATTATTCTGCCTGATGGTGTTTTTAAAGCTGTATAGGACTGTTCTGTCAGTGCTTCTGCTTTGTCCTTCCAATTCAGCCTTAAGATCCTTGAGGACAGTATTGGGGAAAATGGATGGAGTCAAAACACTGGGTTCTTCTCTGGTTCCACCACTCACCAGGTGTGGAAGCTTGGACCCAGGATAGGTTAGTTTCTTCACCTGAAGAATGGGAAGGCCCTGACCTGATCCAGCTCCTTGGCTGGCCTATAGTGAGGATGGTGGGCCATGTTTAAAAGGGCTTTAACTGTATAAACGTACGGGAAAATACAAGCTGCTGAAGCATCTGCAATGCCTACCATGGCCCTTAGACACAGGGAGGAGTAAACATCCTTCTTTTTCATTTACTTAATAAACATTCATTTAACAAATATCGACCCTCTTCTGTGTGCCAGGGCTTGTGCTAGGGGCTGGGGATACAGTGAGATACCCAGAATTGACAGTAAAATTACTCTTTTTTGCTTTCAATGTATGTTTGTATATATCACCATACAATTACCTGAAGGTAAGACAATTTAAGAAAAGACAGACCTAAAATGGGCTCTGAATATTTTCCTTTTTTTTTTAATAATTTTTATTTTTAAGTAATCTCTACATCTGACCTGGGGCTTGAACTTACAACCTCGAGATTGAGAATGGCATGTTCTACTGACTGAGTCAGCCAGGCGCTCCTGAATGGGCTCTAAATATTTCTCATGGGGAGTGTTCTCATGCTGGCCCTAGTTTTCCCAGGCAAGGCTGGGCTTTGTTAGAAAGAAGCTTGCTTGCCATTAAGGCAATAAACAAAGATGCAAATCCCTAGACTCACAGGTGGCAGGCAGGAGTTCCAGGTGGTTGTGTCGTCACTGCTGGTGCTAATGCTGACATTACAGTTGTCCACCTGGGAAGCACTCAGGCCATGGGAAGCCCCCATATCCTCCAGTTCTTCATTCTGTTGCCGCCGCAGGCTGGCCAGCATTTGCAACTCAGATTCACTCATCTGGCTGGGCTGATAGTTCCTCCAGTCATATTCCTGACCAAGAGAGAAGAAAGGGACAGAGCAAAGGGTTACTTGGCCATTCTTAATTTATTCTATTCACTACCAACAGATGTTACTCTACAGCCTTAATCCCTTTCAAGGGCTCTCCACTGACTGATGCCCTGACCCTTAAAGTGCCCTTATACAATGCCTACCCCACCTGCCTCACTTTGTTTGTTTGCTCCCAGCACATCAGCCACACTGTCTTTCATTAAAGTCCTCAAGAGCATCAAACTCATGTCTGCCTTAGTGCCTATGCACATGCTAGCCTGTGTGCCCCACGTACTGGCTAACTCCTAGGTGCCCTTTGGGTCCCAAATTGTGTCATCTTCCAGGGAAGCCTTTTAGGACAAACACAAACTGGGTCAGCCCCTCCACAGTAAGTGCTCTCATGGAATCATAAGGTGCTCATTTTTTAGCATTTATCACAATTGCAGTTATGCAATCATTTATGGGATTCACAGGTGGTCTACAGGCTCTACAAAGGCAAACACCATTGCCTTACACTCATTGTATTTCTCATGTCTGGCGCTTGACCAGTGTTTGACTACAAAAAAACTCAAAAAGTTTTTTTTTAAAAAGAAAAATCACTTTCCAGGTGAAGATCCAGTTTACAAGAATACTGATGAATTTCATCACTGTAAACATTATGACCAAATACATTCAACTTTCAGTAAGATTGAGAATGACTGATGCTAGTAAAAGCCACCAAATAAAATATAATCTTAAGATGGGAACAAGTAAGTTCTGAAAGCCATAAAGACCTCATAGCTATAACAAACACACTGAACGGGACTTTACTATATATATACATATATATAATACTATATATATGTGATACAGATTACATGCATATATATATATACATATATGTATATATATACACATATATATATATGTATATATATATATACGTATATATATGTGTATATATATATATATATATATATATATATATATATATATATATATATATATATATATATATATATACACATGTAATCTGTCCGGTATATTTCTCCCCAAGAATACTACTACAAATCTTTAGAGGCTAATGGAAATATTCTTTCAACGTACAGGGAAGAAACTGTCATATGGAATTTTCAAAAACCTTTCTTTCTCTATGGTCTAAAACCAAGTCTGATGGCAAAGGTTAATTTTAACATCGCTAAAATGTTAGCATCACTTGTGAGTACTGATTTACATCCGGGACTGCCATATAACTTAAAAACAATCTTGGAATTTTCTTGCCCATCTGCAAACACTGGTTGTGCTCAAAAAGGTTTCATGACACACTAGAATTTTTTAGATACTCAAACCTCTGTACTTACTTTCTCGGAGGACTCTTTGAGACAGCTACTGTCTTCTCTTCTTTTCTGCCTCATAGGGACGTAAAAAATTAAGGAAATATAATTTAAAAAATTCTTGTGTTTCTACGACATTAAAAAGTTTTAAATAAAGTACTGTCATTATCATAACTAGGGGATTATGAAAGCTTGTGATCTAATAATGTGATGTAGACATTTTCTGGAAAGTTGCTAGTGGAAACTCATTTAAATTTTTATAATTTGTGGCTGCAGCAGCCTGGCACCCTGAGAGACCATGCAATCTCTAATAGGAGATTCCATGAGTATTTAATATGTTTTGAGAGTTCTTGAGACAAAACAGGTATCACAAGAAGAAAAAAATTTATACTCTAATGAGTATCTAATGAGTGTTTTTTCTAATGAAAAATACTAAAACAAAAGAGAAACAGAAATAACTTAAATGTAGAAGAAATAGTTGGGGGAACAATAAACATAAGAAAAGATGCTCAGCATCACTGTCATTAGAGAAATACAAATCAGCACCGCAATGAAACACCATTCATACCCATTAGGGCTGTCATTATACACAGTTGGACAGTAACAAGTGTTGGTAAGGATGCAAAGAAATTGGAATCCTCACGAGTTGCCGGTGGGAATGTAAAATGATGCCACCACTTTGGAAAACAGTTAGGTGGTTCCTCAAAATGTTAAACATGGGCCACATGGCCCAGTAATTCACTCCTGGGTACATACGCAAGAGAAATGAAAACAGATGTTCATACAAAAACTTGAACACCAAAGCTCACAGCAGCACTATTCATAATAGCCAAAAAGTGGAAACAACCAAATGTCCATCACCTGATGAGTAGAGTTTTGCTTATCCACACAATGGAATGTAATTTACCCATGAAGGGTCATGAAATACTGACATGTGCTACAACATGGATGAACCCTGAAAATATTCTGCTAAGTGAAAGAAACTGCAGACAAAAGGTCACAGATTGTATGATTCCATTTGTATGAGATGTTCAGAACAGGCCTATCCATAGAGACAGAAAGCAGATGGGCTGTTGCCCAGGGCTGAGAGGTCTGGAATGGGGAGCGACTGCCAATGGGTATACAGTGTCTTTTGTGGGGGATGCAAATGTTCTAAAATTACATGGTTACAGAATCTCGTGAATATGCTAAAAACTGAACTGTACTCTTTAGGAGGCTGACTTTTATGGTATATGAATTATATCTCAATAAAAACAAGGTAGTTCAGTACTCAGACGTGAAAACTAGACTCACAGCTTGACTGTGGGCTCAACAGTGAACATTGCGACTTGCTGTGCTTTGCTTCAGTTTTTCTGTCAAAAAAAAAGGAAAAAAAAGAAAAAAGGAAAACAAAAATGGAATGAAAGATTCTAATGTGTCACCTAAGCATGTTAAGTGGCTTGTCATTGCTAACACACACTTTTACAGTGAGAAAGGAAATTCTGTTTTCATCTTTCTTGAGAAAGCTTTAATATGTACTCAGTGTGATTAATTCATCCATTCCTTTTATTTATTTAATCCACAAACCTGTACTGTGCCTCAGGTACAACCCTAGGTATTAGAGCAGAAAACCAAGAGACAATGGGCAGTGGTTAAGCCTGACAGATCTGAGTCTCGGCCCTAGTTCCATTGGTTAGCAGCTTGATGTGACTGGGCAAATTACCTAACCTCTCCCTTCCTCAGTTTCTTCATCTGTAAAATGGATACCTCATGCATACCTCATATATACCTCATGTATACCTCATGTGATTTTCAGTGGGCTGAATGAAGTAATGTATGTAAAATGCTTAGCGTAGTATCTGACAAACAGCTACACTAAGGGCCCCCAAACTTAGGCTTTGTACCTCTATGAAAAAATGTTTGAGTATGTACCTTCTAATATATGATTATTTATAAATTAAACAATGTGTGTACATATATATATATATATATATATATATATATATATATATATATATGTATGTAGTTTTTTAAAGAGATAGGAGTTTATTGAATATACCACAGGGAGTGGTGGGCAGGACAGCATAGGAGAGACTGTCTGCCACATGTATATATTAAACTAGTATGCATAGTATAAAACATATATAAAATGGTGGAGCTTAACAAAAATGGAAATAGCTCAAAAATTTTCTCCTTCAATGATCCCAATGGATCATTTTTGGTGTACATCTTGGGTGAGTACCTCCTTCTTGAGGGCCACAGAGTTGGCAATCAATACATACGCTTCCTGTTATTACTGTTCTTTCCTCTCCCCCTTCCACCCAGTGGGAGTTCATCTATTCTGTACTATGCCAGGAGCTGGGAGTATAAAGAAAATAAGACACACCTCTGTCCTCATGGAGCTCATAGATGAGAAACGGGAGACATAACAGGCATTATAAATCAGGGTATTATATGTACTGGGATCAATACTACAACAGAGATATGACTAAGATGCTTGAGGAATGCAGTACAGCAATGACTAACTGCCCAGCAGAATTGGAAGACACCTCACAGGGGTCCAAGGTGACACTGGATAGTAATTAAATTTGTTGACAAAGGGAATGAGTGGCCTTCAGAGGGAGTGAGCTCTCTCTACCACCGGAAGTACTAAAGCAGAGGCTGGGGAAATGACACCTGCTGGGAATATTGCAGTAATCTGCAGTGGTGGAAATGGACCAATTGATTTATTCATTCATTTACTCTACAAATACTGAGACCCTATTGTGGGCCAGGAACTGTTGATGCTATGCACTCTGAATTTCCATGATTTTATTTCATACAATAGTAAAACGTGTTCTGACAACACCCTGGAAAAGGCAGCCAAAGATGAGCAGAGAAAGAAGTGACGTTCTCCAGGGTCATGAATAGAGCAACTGGTGGCAGAGACAGGTAATTAACTTAGTCTCCTGATACATTCTTGATTTGTAATCTCTTAAACCATTTCAAAATTATCAGAAAGGCTGAATCATTTATTCATATATATATATATTTTTTTTTTTTGAAAGAAGTCTTGCAATAAAGTCTTCACATGAAAGGGGACTCAAGCACAAGACACTATCTAACTAAATTATACAACGCTTGAGAGGCAAGTGCCTTATCTAATTCTATCTCTGAAAGGCTCAAGATGTTATGTATAACCCAATTTTGCCTCAAAATATCCTTGGAGGAAAGAAGGGGGACATTGATATATCAGTCAGATTTGTTTCAGGAAGGAGGTAATGGGCTCAAGGCTATATACAATTCTGCTGTGCTCAGATTCCCAGGCAAGTCTTTCCCTCGTGAAGCCATTCAAGCCACTCATTTTCATTGATCTTCCTTCAGACATTTTTAGAAGCCTAACACAGTGAAGCCACAAAGACAGATGAGATGTGGCCCCTTAGAATCTAGTAAGGAAATCAAGAGCTAGAAAAAAATGAACATAAAATAAGGTAGCATACACCTGAATGTAGTATTAATCAGAGTCTTAATCATGATTAAAAGGAAAATTGATAATTCCAGCAAAATAATAAAACACAACAAAAATAAGCTTATAACTTGATGCCCTTCACCTAATCTCTCTTCTCAAGCTAGTAAGGCAGAAGAGCTTAATTGATCAAACACGTGCCTATAGAATGTTGTGAGCCTCAGATAAGAGCTCATTTTACTGAACTGTTCTAAGTTCTAAGGCTA